CATCTATTATCTATCTATCTATCTATCAATCAATCTATCTAGCATCTATCTATCATCTATTATCTATCTATCTATCTATCTATCTATCTATCTATCTATCTATCTATCTATCTATCATCTATTTATTATCTATCAATCTATCTATCATCTATTATCTATCTATCCATCTATCTATCTATCTATCTATCTATCTATCTATCTATCTACAGTATTTATCATCTATCATCTATCTATCTATCATCTATCTATCTATCTATCTATCTATCTATCTATCATCTATCTATCATCTATCTATCTATCTATCTATCATCTATTTATTATCTATCTACAGTATCTATCATCTATCATCTATCTATCTATCATCTATCTATCTATCTATCTATCTATCTATCTATCTATCTATATCTATCATCACATTTATTATTATTTTTTAATAAAGAACTCAAGGCAGCAAAACACCTAATATTCCTTTTTCCTCCTATTTTCCCCACAAGAAGAAACCCTGTGAGGTGAGTTGGGCTGAGAGAGAGTGAGTGAGTGAATGGCTTTCCTGGTTTCTAGCCTGGTGTCTTAACCACTAGACCAAACTGTCCATTTCCAGGATGGAATATAGTCCGAACTCCCAGTAGGGAGGGAATGCCTTCTAGGAAAGGAAGAGGCAGAGTCTGTATGAGAGAAAGATGGAGAAGCTCCTCTCTTATACACCTCCCTAATACAAGTGGTTTACAGAGTCAGCATATTGCCCCCAAGGATGGAAAGCTGAGTCACCCTTGAGTCGGTCAGGATTGAACTCCTGGCACTGGGCAGTCAGCTTGAAATACAGCTTTTTAACAGTGGTGAAATTCAAATTTTTTTTACTACCGGTTCTGTGAGCGGGGCTTGGTGGGCGTCGTGTGGCTTGGTGGGCATGGCTTGGTGGGTGTGGCAGGGGAAGGATACCGCAAAATCCCCATTCCCTCCCCACTCCAGGGGGAAGGATATTGCAAAATCTCCATTCCCACCCCACTCTGCTGCCCCCGGAAATTCGTAAGATCTCCGACCTCCGGGTGTTTCGCTGCGCATTGAAGACCCTGTTGTTCCGCCAGGCCGGACTATCAACACAATAGTTTTAAATTGGGGTATTTAAATTTATTGGGGTTTTAAATTTGAGCCACTTATTTAATTATTTTAAATTTTATATCATTGTTTTGTCTGTGTTTTTAAATAGGCTGTACACCGCCCTGAGTCCTTCGGGAGAAGGGCGGTATAGAAATAAAATTATTATTATTATTATTATTATTATTATTATTATTATTATTATTATCTCTGGGGCTAGCCAGAGGTGGTATTTGCCGGTTGTCTGAACTACTCAAAATTTCTGCTACCGGTTCTCGAGAACCTGTCAGAACCTGCTGAATTTCACCCCTGCTTTTTAACCACTGTGCCACCAGGGCTCATAGATGTAAGCGGATGTAAGATTGTGTCTGTCGTGAAGAGGATGTAAGGACCGTGTCTGTCATGAAGTGAAGATCTAACCTTCCTAGAACTGCAAACTACTACTGGAAGAATTGGGCAGATATAGGCCTGTAGTTCCTGTTGCCCCACCTGGAATCACAGAGGGCTGGCACAACTAACGTGCTGGCTGTTACATTTTGAGTGAGCAGACAACTCTTTTGGCCTTCTGCCCAATGCTTCATAGAAGAATCAATTCTTCAAGGTCCTTCTAAACCACAGGGGTGTCAAACTTGATTTCATTAAGGCCGCATCAGGGTTCTGTTTGAACTTGGGGGGCCAAGGTAAGCGTGGCTGAGATGGGTGTGGCTGGGGTGGGCATAGCCAGCTGGACATCACTCGTGTTGGGGGCGTCAGTGGTGGCCTGAGTGCTCTGCCAGAGAAAATTGGCTCCCGAGCTCCATTTTTGGCTGCGACAGCTTCTTGCAATCCTCTGCCAGTGAAAATGGAGCTCAGGACCACCGCGTGTGGCCCTTCCTAGCTCCATTTTCACTGGCAGAGGCATCGCGGGCTGGTCCTTCGCAGTTTCCAGGGTGGCCCCGCGGGTCAGATCTAAACACCCCGCGGGCTGGATCTGGCCCATGGGCCTTAAGTTTGACACCCCTGTTCAAAAGGCTGTTCAAAAGCCATCCAGATGAGGCACACTTTCTGGGTGCTATTTTTTTACGGAACCTGGGGCATGTCTCACCTTTCCATGCTTATAGAACAATTATAAATAAATGTCCTGCAAATACCTAGGCCCTGGATATTATGGTATGTTGCCTTTCAAAATGGGAATAATCTTATACAATACTCTCATGCAAATGCCATGATGTACAAGCACAGTAAGTCACAGTAATAGTGTGAAAATGTTGCAGTTACTTGTCCCGTCCCCTGATCTTTGGGTGGATGCTTAGTGGGTTACCTTTCTCCCAATGGCCCAAACTATGACAGATGGGAAACGATGAGAAATTATGGCAGGTGTAGACTCGGTCATTAGATGCTGATTGGGGACTTAGACCATTAAGAGTTAAACTTGGCAGGCTTCCTTTTGTTTCTGTAAGGTCATTTTACCCCAAAAAGTAAATATTTCCCCTACTCATCCATGTCTGACTTTAAGGGGCAATATTCATCTCCATTTCCTAGCCGAAGGAGCCAGCCTTGTCTGAAGATGCTTTTGTGGTCATGTGGCTGGCAGGACTATACACGGAGGTGTACAGAACTTGGTTACTTTCCCACCTATTTAAGTGGAACCTATTTATCTACTTGCATTTGCATGCTTTCAAACTGCTAGGTTGGCAGGAGGGCCCAGCTGCCAGTTTGGACCAGTTCAGGAGAACCGGTAGTTCTGACCAGTGGCTGGCCCCGCCCACCCGCCCTGGCGCTATCATGTCCTATATAATCGCTGGTTTTTCGATGCCGCGCGCTGACATTTTCGATTTCAGCCGAACTGCTTGTTACAACCGGCAGCAGCCCACCACTGGGCCCAGCATATTAACCACTAGGCTAAGGGCCTTCTTAAATCTACCCATCTTCCTACCATCAAGCTTGTTCATATTACATTACAATATTAATATTTTTTTTCCACACAATCCAGCTTAAATTCCCTTTGCTCAGGGGTGTCAAACTGGCGGCCCACGGGCCAGATGCGTCACGCAAGGCCACGCCCACCCCAGCTCCGTGAAGGGGCAAAAAAACATTGTGATATGTCACGTGACGGCAATGCGACGCCGCAAATTTGACACCCGTGCTTTTGCTCATCTTCCCTAACAAAGGGGAGGGGCAAATGTGACCATTGAAATCTATTTCATTGTAGCGCCCTGACAACATTGCAAAGGAAAAAAAAACATGTACGTGTAACAAATTACAATCAATATTATTTTTTGTAAATTAGTTGGCGGCGCTATTCAAAAGAGCATCTCCTCTTCCGATTTAGCATCCCTGCACCCCACAATTTTGCCCTAGTTCGGTACTACCCTAAAGGAGGCCCCACACCCACAATCATGGTCTCCTCCTGTGTGTAGCTGGTTTTCTGAGAGCATTTTAGCAACAGGGTGTGTCCCTTGCCTTAGCACTCCCTCCTTCCTCGTTTATTTTTCTCTCCCTCCCCTCTTTTTTTTTGCATGCTCTCTTACATGCTGGCTTCTTTCCTTTCTGAGCGTTTTAATTTCAAACGGAAAGCACAGCAAATGACTTGCTCTGCTTATGCAACTTCCTGTCTGGCCGCCTCTTTTTTTCCCCCCTCCCCTCCCCCCCCCACATTTTCCTCCCCCCATGCAACAATGGTACCAGTTGTTTCCGTTTCCAAACGCCTGTGATCTGGGATTGCATATTTATTGCATAAAAATAAAGGATCTGGCCCTCGGGATGTTTACCATCATGGTGGTTTTTTTTTTTTTTTTTTACCGTTTTTTAAAAACAAGAGGGTCATTTCTCTTATTTCTCTGCAAATGGTGCAGGGAAACATCCCCCCCCCCCAATCTAGGGCTGGGTTTGTGCTACACTGTTGCCTGCTTATGGCAGGGCTGAGCCCCAGGATGAATCTCTTCCTTCCTCTCTTTTTTTTCACTGGGATGGAGCCGCGGAGACCCTGCTTATGCCTGCACAACATATGCTGCTTTCTTTCCGCCCCCCCTATCCCCCTGAAAATGCCTGCGCGTCCCTTTCTACTGATGGCATTGTTGTTGTTGTTTTTTTTGGAAGCCCCTAATGTGCTTGTAGACTGGCACTCAGCCTTGTGCAAAGCTTGCAAAATTAGCATCCTGGGCTGACATCAGGTAACCCAAGGAAGCAAAGCAATCGAATGGTGGGTTTTTTTTTTTGCTTTTATTTTTTTTTTTAACGTGAGGATCTAGTTCCCACGTTTCTCATTGCATTCCTCAATGAACCCGAATCAACCCACCCGGCGCTCTGCGTGGCCAGCCCATCCTTTTTTTTTTTCTTTATTTTTGGGGAGCGTGGCAACCTCTTTTTCTCTGTGCCTGTGTGTGTTATAATGCTTTATTTATCCTTTTTCGGTCCATCGCTTCAAAAAGGCCGCCTCCCCAAACAAACCATCCACCAACCCTCATCATCATTAAAAGACAACAACAACAACAACAAAACCTCACCACCCAAACCTAAAACGACTCCGGCTCTATACCCATTCCAGCCAGGGAAATTCCGACGAGCAGCGAAAGAAGCTTCCCCCCCCCCCCAGCGTTCCTTTCTCCCTTCCCCCCATTTGCAGCGCTTGTAATTTTAACCGCCCCCTCCCCTAAATTAAATCTTTTTTTATTATTATTATTATTATTTTTTTTGCACGGCTCCGCTTTTTTTTTTATTTTTTTTTAAATGTTGTTGTTTGCTTGTTTGCGAATCCAGATGTGTTTTCTGCGCCCTGCCTCCACCCTCCTCCTCCTCCTCCTCCTTTGGAATCCAATCTGGTTTGTTTTCGCAGGAAGTAGGCGAAAAAGAAGGCGAGGAAAGAGGCCGGGCCTTGCTTGCCTGCCAGCCAGCCAGCCCCCCTTCCCTTCCCTTGTGTGTGTGTGTGTGTGTTTGTGTGTGCAAAGAGCGCCTCTCTTTTCTCCCTGCTCATTTCTGTACGGCTGGCCACCTTCCTTCTCCCCAGTTGCTGAGCGCCGTTGGCTGTTCAGAGCGGTTTTGGCTCCTTCCCTTAGTAACAGCTTTTACATTCTGCCTCAATTCCTCTTCAATCGAAATCACACACACGCACACACACGCACAACACACACACATATATACATGCACACAACGCGCGCGCGCGCACACACATAAAGCATTACTCCCCCCCCCCCCTTTGATTGCCTCCTCCTCCTCCTCCTTCCTTGGGACTTAATCTATAATTTCCCCCCACCGCTTCTCGCTTCCCCCCCCCCCCCTCCAGCAGCACCAGCTCTCTCTCTCTCTCTCTCTCTCAACACACACACACACACATACCCCTCACCCAGACTCGGGTCATAATTGAATACATTGCATTTCCAACCCCCCCTCCCCCCCTTTTCCCGGTGGCTACTTGAAGTCTCTCTCTCTCTCTCTCTCTTTTTTTTTTTCTTTTCCCCTTCCCTTCCCCCCCTTTGGGCTGCACCCGCAATTGCAAACCCATATATTATACCTCTTAAGAGAAGGAGGAAGCTGCATGAAATATAGCTCTATGTGTGTCAGCGTGGGGGGCTTTTTCCTCCTCTTTTGCCTCCATTGCAAAAGGAGGGGGGGCGGAGAGCCATACTAAGCCATCAATTGCAAGGTAAGAAATAAAATAATAATACCAAAAAAAAAAAAGTGTTTCTCTTACCTCCCCCCCCCCACTCTCCCCGCTTTCCCTGTGTGCATGTTTGTCTTGTACCCTCTGCGCAGTTTTTTTTAAAAAATATCTAGTTGCAAGCTAGGAAATATTTCAGGCGCCCCTAAAGTGTATATTTTAAGGGGTTATTTGGCGCGCGGGGGGGGGGAGAGTTCAGGGAGGGCGTTGCTGGAAAGGGAATTGAGGGAAAGGGGGGGGTAGGGCTGGGGGGGAGGGGCGCCTGTGTTTGTAGCTAGTTGGAGGAAGCAACGCGTGGGGGAGGGGCAGAAGTGTAACAAGCATTGCCCCCCCCCACCTTTTGGGAAGGCAGTGTGTCTTTTAACTTTAATCTTTTTCGACCTTTTTTTTTTTTGGCCTCATCTTTCGGGAGGTGTTTTCAAACCCCCCCCTCTCTCTTCTGATCTTTTAATTAATTTTTTTTTAAAATTACATTGGTGGTGTGGGGAGGGGAAAGTGTTGATTCATCGCGTTTTTGGAAAGTGTGGCGGGGGGTGGGGGTGGGGGGTGGGGAGAAGAAGAAGAAGAAGAGAAGCCTTTGCACTAATAAATGCAAAGCCAGCAGCCATTATGAAGCAAGCTGGCTTGATTGCCTATTTTTAGACGATTTGGGCCAGAGGAGAGTTTTTTTTTTTATATATATTGCATCGGCGGATATATATGTATATATATATATATATATGTACAATATTCTTGCTGGAAGGAAACACACACACACACACACACGGAGAGGTGTCTTATAAAAAAATCAGGCTCAAGTTCGGAAGTGTGTTTTGCGTGGTGCGTGCGTGCAGGGTTGTTTTTTTCTTTTTCTTTTTTTCCCAAAAAAGAGAAAGGTCAGTAGAATTTATTTTTTTCCCCCCTCCAATGGTTGGTAATTAAAGTGTGGGTTGAAAGAAAAGTTTTGTTTGATGAAGGTTTGTGCCTTAAATGACTTGTTTGCAAGCGGTGTGGGGGAGGGGAAGGAATGTGGCAGAGTGAACTCACACTGGTGGGGGAGGGGGAAGAGCTTAGCAGTGGCTTTTTGCTTGTGTCTTTGCAAAATAATAAAGGGGGGGGGAAGAAAGAGGCTTTTGATGGCTTCTTTTTACTCCCCCCCTCCTTTTAAAAATCTAGGCTGTTATATTTTCAGGGATAATGATGATTATTTGCTTTTGTGGACGCTGTTTTGGAAATTGGAGCAAAACAAACCCCCCCCCCTTTAAAAAAAACTGTTCCATGGGCAGAATTGTAAACTATATTCTAATAGCCAAGTTCTGGAATGAACTTTGGTCTCTGGGAAAACAATGGTGCAAAATTCAAGAGTTACATGTCTATAAGGCCTAGTTTTGAAATCAGGGTGGCTTCACCCTGTTCTTTTCCACGTGTAAAAAGTCTCAAGATCCTATCAGTGAACAGTGCAATTTCCCTCCCCCCCCCCTTTTAATGGTATGCTTTGAAAGCAGAGGATATGTTTGCAGTACAGAACTAGATCTGGTTAATCATCTACCTGCCATGGTAAATGTAACTCACTTTATTATCCTTTTGGATCTTTAGTGGAAAAAAGAGGCAGATTATTCAATGGCTGAAGGGGGGAAACCAGGGGAAAAGAGAGCCAAACTAGAAAAACAACCTGGCTGTGGATTTTCTGGAGTGTGGAAGTTTTAAAAACAAACACTGAACTTTGCTTGGTATATAGTGGTTGGACAAAATGTCTTATTAAAGGGTGTCCCTGAATTGCTTGGAATTTCTGACTCCTACATGTGCTTCACTTCCTTCCTCCTTCTTAATTTTTTTTTTTTTTTTGCTGGTGTAAAGGGAGTTGCATTTAATTTATATAAGGCATTGTAGAAATCTCATTTTTTATCAGTCTGGGATTTGGGGGAGTGAGTGGGAAGAAAGTATTCTATTTAACCTCAATAGTATAGTTTGAGGTTTCTTTTTCAGTCAGACTTAAATAGAAGTTCAGTTTTGATTCATGAACAGGAATAATACAGAAACTTGTGGTATGTAATCTGTCTTGGCCTTGTATCTCAGTTGTATCTTACTTATTTACCATCTGAATATTATATTTTCTCTCCTTAAAAGCACATTTCATTCAAAAATTTGGGGGAAGAGTTGTGGACTTGGACTAGGCCTCAAACTTGGAGTTTTGTTGATAACAGAGTAAGGTTGATAAAATTAGATGCGTTTGCAGGATCTGAGTACCCATCCTTCACCAGAACATGGCTTCGTGGATTAACCCAGTTTCCTCAGTTGGCATGGCACACTGAACCAGTCAAAAATTGTGAGACTAGGCCAAAATGTCTATGGGTCATAAGTTGTTTCATAGAGTGTCTAAACTTGCTTTTAAATTTTCACCTATATGGAAGTATTCCATATTTTTCGCCTTTGTGATGGGACTCAAAAATACCAGGAAAACAGCAAAACTTCTTTCTCCTATAAGTTTGGATATGATTGAGAAGGAAAAATTTGATAAACCAATATGGACAAATAACATGTTGGTATTTAGACTATAACATTCTTACTCATAGATGTTGGCAATTTTTTTTAAAAAAAATGGATTTTCAGGTAATCCTCGATTTACAAAATTTGTTTGGTGACTGAAGTTATAACAGCACTGAAAAATGTGACTTTTATGACTGGTTTTCATGGTTAGGATTGTTGCAGTATCTCCATGGTTATGTGATCAAAATTCAGGCAATTGTCATGAATTTATGATGGTTGCACTGACCTGGGGTTATGTGATCACCATTTTGTAACCTTCCCAACTGGCTTCTGACAAGCAAAATCAATGGGGGAAGCCAGATTCACTTAACGAATGTGATTCAGTTAACAACTACAATAATACGCTGAACTGTGGAAAAAAGGTTGTAAAATGGGGCAAAACTCAACTTCCTTGCTTGGCAATAGAAATTTTGAGCTAAATTGTGGTCGTAAATAGAGGACTATCTGTACATGGTCATAGAGACTTGTATCATCCCTTAATGCTATAAACCATGCTTGGGCCTGAAACTGATTTGGCTGGCTTCCCACAACATGTTACTATAAAGCACGTGTTTCCTAAATCATGAACAACTGAACAGAGCAATAAACATAGGATTAAGTGTCATGGGCCAACCTAAGTGTTGATATTTCTATTGATTTTATTTGTAATTCAATATTTTGCAATGGAAAGAAGCCTACTTAGAAACCTTGATTTTTCATTCAGGAAAATGAAACTTTTGTGCTGCTTCATGGATATGACTTAGCGGCCAGTGGGAAACCATCAGTGCTGTACAGAGTCGCTTTGTGGTGAGATGGGTGGATACAAATTTAATAAAAATAAAAATAAATTTTCACATTTAAATATTTTTTCCCGTAGCCATGATATTTTTGGAGACCTTAATGGCGGTACATTTATGGAGGGGGGAAAAGGGAATTCTTCCTATAATTTATAATGAATTTACACATTTCATAACTACAAAATAGGTTGTTGACCACTATCTTTATTGTGTATGAACTCACTGATATGGAAGTTCTTTACTCCGAGGACAATTCTAGACAACTGGAGAGTGGTTTAAGGTATGTAATCATATGAACAGAGATGATAGATTATGGACCTGCCTTAATGGAAGATTTTCACACTTATGCTTCAGTAGGTGCAGTTGTGATTCCTGTAAAATTCTTGTGGGTGAGAGATGAAAGGATTTGAATATTTTAAGAAATAATTGACCCACTTATGGGGGATGTCTGCCAATAACTATAATCTGTGAGAGCTAAATATAACTTTTCTGATAATACCCAAGTCTTCTGAGTTACAACTCTCATAATTGATGGCTAATGTGTAGAGGTAGTATTCAGCTGGTTCGGACTGGTTCGGGCAAACCAGTAGCGACGACTGTGGATGGGCGCAGCCACCCGCCCCGGTGTAATGCCATCCTATTTAGCCAAGTATTTGAGGGTGGGTGCATACGCAGAAGGTGCGTGCGTGAGCAAAGTGTATGCATGGAAGCGCACACGTGAAGTGAGTGTGCAGGGCGAACTGGTCAGTGGTGGGTTGCTCCCGGTTCGGGCTGGTTCAGGCGAGCCAGTATTGGTGATGATGTGATGACAGGTAACCGGTTTTCTATGACTGAGCTGGGCCCTCCTCCTGCCCCCGCGTTATACCTACCTTTATTTGTCGTTTTTTAGCCCAGTTGATAGGCGCAGCAGAGTGTATTGCTGCGCCTCTGCTGGGCAGAAATCTAATGCGCTTTTGTGGAGCGCAAGTTTGGCACGCGTGCGAGCAAAGCGCGTGCACGAAGAGAACTGCTGGTAACACTGGTTGGAACCCACCACTGGATCTGGTGGTAAGAATATGTGAAATCCACTACTGCTAATGTTCTTTTGGCTGGATTTAACCAAGAAAATAGGAACAGATTGGTTAAATAATATTTCTTGTAGAGATATAGGATGTATTTGAGATTAGAAAATGAACAAGGTGGTGGTCATACTCATAATGGCATGACTGCCATTTTGTAGGTTTTTACAACATCCTTGGATAAAAGGGTGCAATTGCAGTCTTTCCCATTATGAATACACATGCAGGCATGCTGCTTTTAGGAGATGCATTACAGATTTTATTTGTTCAACTTGTATGATATTTTTATGTATACCGAGGCATCTGCATGTACAGCCAGTTTTGACTGTTTACCAACAAGGTCACATAAAGAACTGGCAAATGTCTTTATACACCAACTGTGGCTTGTTGTTTTGGTAACTCAGGTATATTGTGCAGCTTTAGCTTATTTGGTTAACATGATTGAGTAATTTACCATAGCATGAACCCAGAAAATGAGTTAACTGGGTTAAGGACTGTGTGAAAACAGCTTCTATTGTGATGTAATAGCACAGTAAAAAAAAACCCAACCTTACAGTGTTCATAGACTTCCTTTTAAAAATCTGGTTATAACAAGTTAAATATATAAAATAAAACAAAAATAACA